TACAATTGTGCATTACTGAACCCAGAAGTAGTATTACTGAACTCGTAGAGAGTATTAGCGGTGGGGGCTGGCCCCCCACCTCCCTCAGCGTCATTTTTTAATTTAATACTACAGATGTGGGGCAAGTTGATTGTCAGGCCTGTCTTCAGAGGTGCCTCTGGTGGGACTCGAAACTCCAACCCTTCCGCTAGCCACTGAGTGTGTGAACCTTTGTTCATGTTGTCGTTAGGTGCGGCCCATAGTGACTCTATGCCCCACAGAATAAGCCACCACTCGGTCCGGGGTCAGCCCCACAACTGTTCTCATGCCGGAGCCCGCTGCTGCAACCACTGTGCCAGTCCATCAGCCCACCTTGTCAAGGGTCCTCTTCCTCTTTGCTTCTGTCCCTCTATTTCAGCAAGCACGGTGTCCTATTCCACAAATTGATCTCTCCTGATAACATGTCCAAAGTACCGTATATACGCTTGTATAAGCCGAGTTTTCCAGCACATTTTTAATGCCGTTTTTTGTGGTAAAATTAGGTGCCTTGGCTGATCTTCGGGTCGGCTTCTACTCGAGTTTATACGGTATGTGTGTTAGTCTGGGTAGACTAGAGAAACAAGTTCACAGACATGCTCATAGGTGTGTAAGAGAGAACTTTATATCAAAGAGTAATTGGACATTAAGAAAATAGCCCAGTCCAGATCAAGTCCATAAATCCGATAGCAGCCCATAGGTCCTTACAAGTCTAAAAATTCTTCTTCAGATTCACGCAGCACAGGCAATGGCGCCGAATGCAGGAAGAAAGATCACAGGGTGGAATGTCTTGTGGATCCAGTGGTGGTAGAAGCCTCTCAGAGCTGGCATGGGTCTCCACAAGTGGCTCCTCCAGCTCTCTGGGTTCTGGCTGCATCAGCGTAGCTTCATCAGGCTTGTAGTCAGCAATGTCTCACAGGGAGTGAGCGTGTGGTCTGCCTCCAGTGAGCTATTGATCTCCTTAGCGCCTCCAAATGAGGTCATCAAGCTGTGACCTGATTGACAGGCTAAACGCCACCCCTTCGCTCTTAAATCTCAAATTGGCAACAGACTATGTAACGACCACAGTAAGTGAGACAAAAATCTTGCCATCCTTGCCTCTAAGGAGCATCCTGGCTGTGCTTCTTCCGAGACAGACCTGTTCGTTCCTTTGGCAGTTCTTGGCGCCCTCAATCTTCTTCT